TTATGATTTTATTTAAACCTATAAATAATATATTTTTTCAATGATATTTTAAATCAAAGATAAAAAAACACAAAAATTAAAAAATTCAAAGATAGTTTTTAAAAACTAAACCAAACAAATTGATCATATCATTTGATTTTAAGTATTTCATTTGGGAAAAAAACAAAAAACAAAAAAACAAAAAAAAAAATAGATGAAGGTGAAGTATTACAATTTTTAGTTCAAGGTATAAAATGGTACAAGGTAATTGTTCAACTGAATAAAGTGCACTTCACCCTATGATTTATGTTGCATTATTTTTCCTTGTGTATACCTGCATCCATGAAATATTAATAAAATTTAAAATCTATGCACAATCCATTATATTAATGGATGTAGAAGAAGTAGATATTTTAATAATAGCATATTATGTGATATTTTCTGTATAGTATCCTCGATCAATACAAAATATGATAATTTTCACTATTATTTACTTACATTTGTTTTTATAAACAAAAGTTCTAAAAGAAATTTTAGAAAAGTGGTGCAATTAGTACCTTATGAATTATTTTGGACCCCCTCATATCTTTAGACCCCTACTTATAAATTTTGAAACTCTTAAAATTTCTTTTCTCCCTCCAAATAATACCAAAATTATCCTTAAACATTCCACTCATTGACTGCACACCCCCCACACCTTCACACCAAAAAAAAAAAAAAAATTCTCTCTTCCAAAAAACACCAACAAAACCCACTAAAAAGAAAAAGAGTCTCATCTTTTTAAAACCCACGAAGAAGAAGAAGAAGACTGTCTATGTAATCGTAATGATTCTCTTTTGACTAACTACTATAGAGAGAGAGAGAGAGAGAGATCTTTATTTTTTGTTTTTAATCTTGTTTGGGCCATTTGATATGTTGACTTGTTGATCAATTACTCTTGTTTAACATGGTATAGCCTTTTGATGTGCTCTCGTTTTTACCATAACATATCCTCCATTTTTTCTCTCTATCTCTATCTCTATCTTGGGATTATGGTGGTGTGGGTGTGTGGTGAGAATTGAGGGAGAGCCATAAACAAAACAGAATTGTTGTGTATCCAAAAATGACGAGTTTTCTTCATGTCCAGACCTACATTCATGAACAAATAAGCTATGTTCGGGAATGTGTTCCCAAACAAATAAATAATATTTGGGCTTGTATTCCCAAACTTGAAAAAATAAAATTTCTGCAAATGTTAAAAATTTTAACTGTTGACTCGCCATCATCCTGAAATAAGTAACAATACAAATTAAATTTCAAAATGTGATCAGTAAAACAGGTCCGAACATATGAATAATGTTCGGTTACCTATTTCTGAACAAATAAACAATGTTCGGGCCTGTGTTCCCGAATTTCAGTCATATGTTCAGGAGTTCAATTCTGAAAAATGACGAACAAATTTTATTATTTTTGCCATTTTTTTTCCCAAGAAACTTACCCTTACAAGGCCAATCTCCTCCGAGTTAAGAACAATATCAAAGTTATGAACCACCTCTAAGTTTTTATTGTTATACTCCTCTCGTCTTATGGAGTGTTACTCATTGTCATTGTCGGAGAAGTGTAAGTAATCAAATAATTGTCATCGTTACCGCCGGAATATTGCTGCCAAATGTTATCAAGGTTTTGAGGGTGAGTAGGTTTTGAATGTGAGATTTGGGGAAGATAGATGGGCGGTGATGGAGGCGGGTGCTCTCATAAACCCTAATTCATGATATAGTGGGGGTGTAGATTTAATTGTGAGATGGGGTATCCCAAAATTAATGATGTCCTTTGTAGTAAAGGTTATTATTGTAATAAATAAAAAAAAAGCTAAAAATTGGAGGGTCAAAAATAATTTATGGAGTGTTAATAGCAGCACTCATTTTAGAAACATAAAAATTACTATGCAATGATTATTAAAAGACTGCATTAATTACCTAATATTTATATTATTTATAGAATAATGTTGACAATGCTTGTAGCACTTATATAAATAATTTTTTAAAAAACTAAAATTGATAAAATCGTGTATAAGATCAACTACATCACAATTTTTATATATGAATTAATGAATTAGCTATAATACTTACTCCGCTCACACAAACACAAAAATAAATAAATAAATAAATAAAAGAAAAGAAGATAATATGTTACCAAAGTTGAATGTAAAAAAATTTAATTATTAATATTACATAAAAAACAAAAAACAAGTTTGAAATTAAAATATATAAAAATTCTTCATTTAAATTTTGGTGTCTAAAACGTAAGCTATTTATAAAAGAGAGAACACTAGTGGTCAACCTAAATAATTTAATTAATTATTTTTTATATAATTTTTTTATTATAACATTCGACTCTTGACTTGCACGGGCTTTTTTGGTGACTAGCATAATTTGTAAATTAGAGAGTAGTGAGCCGGGGGTGATAAGGTGGGTGAACGCAATTTGTTTGTTTCCTTGCAAGTCTTTGGGGGATTGTATTTATACCTTAAAAAAAAATTAATAAATATTCTTAATTTTTAAGTGTATTCTGTTTAATTATTTAAAATTTTATTTCACCCTCATTAAATCTTATTTACTTTGTTTGGTTCTTGTTTTTCAAAATCAATTTTTGAAAATTTTAAAGTACTTGTTTGGTTATTCAGAAAACTAAACAAACTTTTCAAATTCAAGTTTCCCTCCAATTTAAGGAGAGACAACTTCAAAAAATAAAAAAAAAGTTGTCACATCAAAAAATACTATACATACTATATATGTATGAAAATATAATTTGGTATGTATTCATTTATGGGTACATATCTTATCATAAAATGTGTGACTTTATCATAAAATTTTCACTCATTCCAACTACAGAAAACGTAATTTTTTTTACAAATGAGCATTAAAAAAAATCATAACTCACTTACAAACTTTTGCAACATCAAATACAAAAAATTTGGATATTTTCTTATGCCAATTTCTGACGATGTTACACATGTTTGTGTTAATGTTACGATATTTTGTGATAAAATAAATTTTATGCATAACATTTATGAAAATTTAATTCTAAGTAAGAATTTTTTTAATGCCAATTTGAATTTTTTTTTTATGTTTTTTGTGATTGAAATGAGTGAAAAATTTATGATAAAGTCACACATTTAATGGTAAGATATGTATCCATAAATGGCTACATACCAAGTTATATTTTCATACATATATAACATGTACATATATATAACTAACATGAAAATATTTTTTGATGTGATAATTTTTTTTTTCAAAATTGTCTCTCTCCTTAAATTGAAAGGAAACTTGAATTTGCAATAATACATTTTTTTAAAAACCAAACAAAAATCTATTTTCAAAATAGAATTTTCAAGTCACTTTTTGAAAAAATAATTCAAAAAAATAGAACCAAACATAATGATTATTTTTCTCAAATTCCCTCAAGGTCAACTCAAATAATAAATAATAAATAAACTAAAAAAATTAAATTATTTTAAAAAATTTCAATACAAAAAATAATTCTCAAATACAGGGGAAAAAAAACACTAAACTTATAAGCACATAATTAATATAAATACAAAAAAAAAAATCAAATTTTTACATAAGCATTATAAAATTTTTCAATACAGAGAAAAAAAAACTTTTACATTATAAATTATCACAATAATGCTCGTGGAATGGTAAAAATCAAACTTATAAACACATAAACATCAAATACTAACAAAAAGAGTTCTCAAATAATATATTATTTAAATGACAAAATAAGAACAACTCTAATAATATGTTATTGTTAATTTAACTACTTGGCCCTTTAATTTTTGTCAAAAAAACGATATATAAAATAATTGATGGTGCTCTACAAAAATTGCGAAGCCCATTTATATGAATACTTACCTCATTTTTTATGGGTTGCTTCAAAAAATTATTTTGATTATTACTCTCATCTATTATTTGATTTTGTTCAAACTTTCTTTTAAGGTTTCAAAATAATAAAAAACAATGATATTGATGATGATGATGAGTTTTGGTAGGGTGGATTGGAGTTTTGGAGGGAGGATGAAGAAAAAGAAGAAATAATTTTGATCTCATGAAAAGAAGATACAGAGATTGGAAAAAAAATTCAATACAGAGAAAAAAAAACTTTTACATTATAAATTATCACAATAATGCTCGTGGAATAGTAAAAATCAAACTTATAAACACTTAAACATCAAATACTAACAAAAAGAGTTCTCAAATAATATATTATTTAAATGACAAAATAAGAACAACTCTAATAATATGTTATTGTTAATTTAACTACTTGGCCTTTTAATTTTTGTCAAAAAAACGATATAGAAAATAATGGATGGTGCTCTACAAAAATTGCGAAGCCCATTTATATGAATACTTAACTCATTTTTTATGGGTTGCTTCAAAAAATTATTTTGATTATTACTCTCATCTATTATTTGATTTTGTTCAAACTTTCTTTTAAGGTTTCAAAATAATAAAAAACAATGATATTGATGATGATGATGAGTTTTGGTAGGGTGGATTGGAGTTTTGGAGGGAGGATGAAGAAAAAGAAGAAATAATTTTGATCTCATGAAAAGAAGATACAGAGATTGGAAAAAAAATAACTGATTAGAGTGTACTATGAAGAAAAAAATTATTTTAAGGTTTAATATGTGTTATCTTTATTAATAAATTCATATTAGAATATAATAAAAATTATAATTTATGAATATAAACGTACTAAGATACATTTTAGATTCAAATAGAGTTCTCCAAGTCTTCTAGCAAACTCGTAGAAAAATGTGAAAATTGAAGAATAGTTGAGAAGGTTGTAAATAATGATGGAAATTGGTGGAGTAAAGGGTTAGAGAAGGTTGGAGAAGGTTGGAGCTCTTGTATTATACTATTACTAGATATTTACTAGTCTTTAATTAATTTTTTTAACTACCAAGTAACTCTAATTAATCTAGGGTATATTCGTAAATTCAACCTCAAATCCTTCTTGCCTATAAATAGAACACACATTCCCTTTTTTATTTTATGTTTTTGATTTTCCAGCAGCCTCAGAGAGGGCGAGGGGTAGATTTTGAGCTAGAGAGAGAGAGGGAGAGGAAGAGGAAGAGTAAAACACTTGAATATTTTGAGCAATTAAGGTAAAACCACACTCTTCTTGCTTTCTTTCATCTCATTTTCCATGCTCTCTTCTTCCATATGCTAGATCAAGCATGTCTTAGGTTTATTGAATGATATTAAGGGTATAACAAGTGTTGCGTGGCTTAGTAATAGATTGGGTGCATGCTAAAACCTTGCTTTGTTTCAATTTTGTGTAGTGTCTCCACTGTTAGGGATTTTATTTAAATAACAAATCTTACTGAAATTAAAATCTGTTCTCAGTGATGTTATTTGATGTATGTAGTGCAATACCCTAAATAAATTCTTAAAGATTTTGGCAGAAAACAACTTTAGAACAGTCCACTTCGCAGATTTTAATAAATTCTAGAAATCCCCTAAAGTTTATTTTTATGTCAAAAGTTAGATTTAGGTGTTATCTTTCATTTAAAATTTATTTGAGCAAAAATAGTCGAGTAGATTGAGAGGAAACGAAATTTTGCGATGAGTCAACAAATCTGGACAGGTTTTGGAACATAGCTTGTAGATTAATTTCTGCTTGTACTGTGCAAATTCTACAAATTGGGACTGAAAATAGACATGTTTTATGTTTGTGTGGAATTTCAGCACCTAAAGTGACCTGGAAGTATTTTAACCAACTCATTCTTTTGCCTCTGCAGTTCTGAAAAGTACTGGAAGGTGTGCCCTCTTGTGTTATTTGTTCCTAAGTATTTCAAGGCATGGCTAATATTTTTTTCTTGCCTTACCATGTTTGTATCTATGATTATCACGTGATATATTTCCTCTTTTATATTTGCCTCATGCTCATTTATATTATTGAATGTGATTAGCTCGCTTATCAAAATATCTAATAAACGGAAAATGTAAAGGGGTTGGGAATGGGTGACATTCACATTAGTGTTTTGGAATGATTTATGTAATATACATATGAATGAGATGAATTGTAATGGAATTAATACCAAATGAGTTAAGTTTTGCAAAAACAGTCTAAGTGAACCCCTAGGATGGAGCAGGTGTCTTCGGACTCTATACGGTAGTTTCAGGGTGTAACGTTCCGTATGTTTGGAAGGAAAACATTTTCAAATGGAAAACATTTTTTACAGAAAACTTTTTTAAAAAATGTTTTCTGGAGAAAACATTTTTCTATGTTTGGTGGTGGTGGTGGTGAAACGAAGGTGAAGGTGAAGGTGAAGGTGGCGGTGGTGGCATGGTGGTGGGCGGTGGCGGCGGTGATAGTTACAGTGATAGTGGCAATGGCTTTAGTGATGGTGGTGTGGTGGTGGAGATGAGAGTGACGGTGGTAGTGGGGTGGTATTGGTAAGATTTTAGTTCAGAAAACGTTTTCTACCTTTTAAAAGTGGAAAACGTTTTCCGCCTTTTAAAAGTGGAAAACATTTTCCGCTTATGTAGGTTTATTTTCTGTTGACTATGAAAAATATTTTCTGTTAACTTTTGTTTTCCATTGTACCAAACACTAGAAAATATAAAAAAATATTTTTCAGAAAATGTTTTATGCCTAAACAAACGGAATGTAAATGAGCCCTCAATATGGTGTGTGCAGGGTGTAAGCGAGCCCTAGGCACATCTTTGGGTGTTGGTGAGCCCGTTTCTTTGGTTGTTCCTTTTGAGGTCCTCGGTTGGCGCTACCTGATAAATAACCGTTATAGGCATCCTTGGTAAGGTCTGCAAAGTAACAAAATAGGGAGTACTGAATAACCCAAATCCAATCCTTGCAGTTGGGAGGAAGAATCTCTTTGGAGAATTCTAGATGTCTTATTCACTACTAACCTGTCGAACCATATTGTGTTGTTATCATGTATCCATGCTTCCAAATTGTTCATACTTGTTTGAGTGATTGTTTGTATAGCGATCCCGGGTTTACCCTTGTTGTATAGTGATCCGGACATGTGTCCGTGGATGTTGGTAGTTGTTTATTATCTTGTTTGCATCCTTTCTTACTTTGTATTTGAGTTATAGGATGTGTTGGTGGCATGGTGGTGGGCGGTGGCGGCGGTGATAGTTACAGTGATAGTGGCAATGGCTTTAGTGATGGTGGTGTGGTGGTGGAGATGAGAGTGACGGTGGTAGTGGGGTGGTATTGGTAAGATTTTAGTTCAGAAAACGTTTTCTACCTTTTAAAAGTGGAAAACGTTTTCCGCCTTTTAAAAGTGGAAAACATTTTCCGCTTATGTAGGTTTATTTTCTGTTGACTATGAAAAATATTTTTTGTTAACTTTTGTTTTCCATTGTACCAAACACTAGAAAATATAAAAAAATATTTTTCAGAAAATGTTTTATGCCTAAACAAACGGAATGTAAATGAGCCCTCAATATGGTGTGTGCAGGGTGTAAGCGAGCCCTAGGCACATCTTTGGGTGTTGGTGAGCCCGTTTCTTTGGTTGTTCCTTTTGAGGTCCTCGGTTGGCGCTACCTGATAAATAACCGTTATAGGCATCCTTGGTAAGGTCTGCAAAGTAACAAAATAGGGAGTACTGAATAACCCAAATCCAATCCTTGCAGTTGGGAGGAAGAATCTCTTTGGAGAATTCTAGATGTCTTATTAACTACTAACCTGTCGAACCATGTTGTGTTGTTATCATGTATCCATGCTTCCAAATTGTTCATACTTGTTTGATTGATTGTTTGTATGGTATGGGGAAAGTTGGGGCGTGTGTGTTTCTATTGGGCTTCGCAGCTCATGGCTTCTTTTTGTTGCCCTAGCATCTAATGCTTGGTTTTGAAGAATTCACTGGCAAAGAAGATTTTATGGAGGAGCTTGGAGTGCCGCTGCGGACGTGGACTGCAGTTGGACTTTCAACCTCACATTGAAGTTTGATTTATTTATTTATTTATTTTTGCTTAGAATCTGAAAATCTGTAAAATTAAGGCAACATTATTTATATATATTAAACTCTATTTTGAAAATGTAACCTTAGTAAAACCCGATATTTCTTTGTTATTATATTTCCTAATGTTCCCAATTTTGGGGCATCACATAACCACTTTATCTCCCTATGATGGGAAGATAAGCGAATTAGGAAATACAGTACTAATAGAGTCAATTCTCTATACTACCAGCATAGCAGTACCTAGAATGATTCCCTGGGAAATTCCTTGGGAAATATTGAATTTCCAAAATCTTGGGTCATTCAGAATGCTAGTCCAGTAGCACTAGTAGTTAACTAGGATTTAGACCAAATAGCACGAACAAATGAAAGAGATATGGTTCTCAATTTTAGGAACACCACAGCCAGACTACCTAGGTGTTCATCCTTTAGAAGTTTGTATGAAAGGGTTCAAGAAAGGAGTTGGAAAATTCGAAAATCTTCGAAGATCCTTGAAAAACAACTTCGAATTCTCTAGAAGAAATGTGAGAGGCTTAGATTCTTCAATAGTCTCAACTTAAAAAACACAAGAGTAAAGGAGATGATGGAGATAAGAGATTGGGTGAAGAAGAAAGCAAAATAGCTAGAGAAAGAATAATGGCAAGGCTCTCCCATGGATCTCCCACTTTCACTCTCAAGGTTGATAATGGAGATGGGAAATTAGTTCTTTCCCAAGAGTCATCTCTCCAAAAATTCATCCCTTGTAAAGCTATGGGTGGGTGCTATTTATAGGCACCTCATGATGTAGGATGGAGCCCATGTGCAAGGCACATGGGAAATATTCTCTCTAACCACCTTGTCCGAGGAGGTGACCTCTCCGAGGATGAGAAGAACCCCGAAGAGGAGATCAATCCCTCGGCGAATCCTTCTTCTTAACCACACCTAACCAATGATCCCCAATCATCCCAAAGGGTCAGGGGTAGTCCTAGAGGACGTCCTGCCGCATAACGGTCAGGGGTAGTTCAAGAGAACGCCCTGCCGCAAATATTGCCGAGTCTCAGGGACCCCCTAGATCGTGCCACCTCGACCCGGGTATAAGCTAGCCGTAAAATATTGCCGAGTCTCATGGACCCCCCGGGGTCGTGCCACCTCGACCCGGGTATAGGCTAGTTTAACCGAAGAGTGAATTTATCTCCACTCACCGTCCTCGGGATCGGGTCCTTTGTTCGAACTCCATTACGCCCATGGTTCTGGTGCGTAGATCCCGGAAAGCTCCGAGCCCGCAAGTGTTTTGAGACTCATTAACGGAGCGACTTCTAGATTGCGTCTGAATCCGTTCGAAGTCAAGTGCTTCGGATCTCTAGGTTCGTGGATCCGAACTCTTTCGAGTCCGAGTGCCTCGGATCTCTAGGCTTGCTCAATACCCTTTCGAGTCCGGGCCCGAGTAAGTCTCTAAGTTCGTGGATCCGAACCCTTTCGAGGCTTAGAGCGATTCAGCCCGTTTGATGGAGATAAATCCGGGCCCACCAATCTTGGATTTGCGATAAATTCGGGTCCACCAATCTTGGACTATTGGGCCTAATTAATTTAATGGGCTCAAATTAGCCCCTCTTACAAAGTTTTACTCCAACACCTTACAATGTAGAACATCCTGCTTCATCTAGGCAATCTGTATCAGATCCCTTGGATCCAGTTTTACAAGGGGTTAAAATATCAGAAAATCAAATACCTCATGGTGTATATAATAGGAGGCCAGAAAATGGTAGGGAAATTCCTATGGCCAGTGACATGAACTTCGATTTGTAATGGATTTTACACCCAACACTGAATAACATAAATCCATTAACTAGGAATTTCAAAATTTTAAATGCGAAGAATTTAGAAAATGGTATTTTATTTATTATTTCAAAGAATGTTTTATGAATATGCTACCACTATGGAGATTTTATCAGAAAAATAATTAAATATTCTCTATAATTATTATAAATCATGGAATACTGGGGATGAAAACCATCCTCTAATAGAACCTTTAGTACTACGTCATCTTCTTTAGATCCATCAACCATAACTACTTATGTCAAACTTACTAGGATTGAAAAATTTATTCATAGTATATTCAATGAATCAAGAATCTCGTCTCATGTTCCAAGAACATAGAGCCCAGTACAAGCTACAAACCTAAAATCCCCTTTAGAAATTAAAGATTTTAAATTAAAATCTCCTAATCTGAATGAGGAATTTATAGAAACCATCATCAATAAAATCAGAAACATAAATTCATCATCCAATATAAATGTCTTATACCAAATGATGGATCATCATCCATCATCCAAATCAGACATAAATGAATTAAATCCTCAAATATTCAGTATACAACATAGTTTTCTAGATATGAAGGATTCAATCAATAAAGTTGATTATTCAAAAAAACCCAACAGAACTGCATTTGCAGGGCCAAGCAGATATTATTATTAAAGGCTCACCCCACAAAATACTCACAAAATATTTTGTATGAAGAAGATTTTCTTCATTCCTGAAAATCTTATCACGGCAAAACTATCTATGAATGGAGCATAGATAATAAATCTGAATATCAAATATTTGAGACTGTATACCAAATGCTTATGTGTAGCTCAGTTTGTAAATAGAATGATAATACTAATAGCCAAATCGCTTGATTTATTATTAATGGATTTACTAGTATCCTAAAAGGTTGGTGGGATAATATTGTCACTGTATCTCAGCAAAATGAAATACTAATGCAGTAAAAGTTAAAACTAATCTAATAACTCAACTTAATCAATCACGAGAGGATGAGGTTTATACACTCTCTCAAACAATTTTACTTCATTT